CTCACCAATTATTCTTGCAGACTGATTGTCTGCAATAGTCATACGTAAAGAAGAATCCTTGCAGCAGCTAAATATATAGAAGAATATGCAACAATGAGGTTCTTGCAAATTAAATCTCTTCCAAGTCTTGCGTGAGACCAGGTAAACGCACATTCTGGCGACATAAAGCAGAGAGAGGGGGAGGGAGAAAGAGAAGGAGAAAGAGAAGGAGAGAGGGAGTTGGTAAGAGAAAGGGGAAGAGGGAGCTGGCAAAGAAGAGGGATTCCTCTTGGTGAGCCTGAGCTGCGTCATACCGGTCACTGGAGTAAACATATCACCGCTGTAGGGCGTTCTTTACTTGTGTTGAACAAGTGTTCTTCTTCTCGTGTGTATCGTTGGTGCGGTGCACCTGTGATGTAAACACTTCCGGGAGGGAGGGAGGAATGAAGCCAGCCAGAGAAGGAATGAGGATAGTAGGGAGAAAGAAGAGAGTAAGTGAGGGAGAAGCTAGGGAGGGGAAAGAGAGAGAGAGAGAGAGAGAGAGAGAGAGAGAGAGAGAGAGAGAGAGAGAGAGAGAGAGAGAGAGAGAGAGAGAGAGAGAGAGAGAGAGAGAGAGAGAGAGAGAGAGAGAGAGAGAGAGAGAGAGAGACGCCGGCGGAAGTTTAAAAAGGGGACGTCACCTCTCCCTCATCCTCCACCCTCTCTCCCACCTCTCATCTCCCACATCCCTCCAACCCATTCCTAAACTATTCCGCTGTGCCCCTTCCTCCCTTCCCACCACCAAGGGCGGGGTTATTTACCAAAGAGCGGTCCATTTCCTCTCTGCACTTGGCTGTGTACATATTTATAGTGCTTCGCGCCTATAGTCTTGCGCCGTCTACCCTCCAATCCTCGCTGTTGTCTACTTCGTCTTCAGCATCTAACTTGTCTTAGACTTTCACACATCTGCTGATGTCTTCTCTGCCTTTCCTGCGAAGACCGATTGAAGTGCCTCAATCTGCTCTCGCTAAAGACGCAGGACAAGGCGGGCGGATATGATCAAGGCTTCTGTTTGGGTTAGGTATGGCTATAAAAGTAGGTGATATACACAGGGTTCTGAATGTGTCGAGTGAGGATAAAATCATAATTATAATTAGCTTTTATCGGGGACAGGCGCTTGTATTATATATATATATATATATATATATATATATATATATATAGGTCGAACTACTGACCCTTTCACGGATGCAACATTTGCCTAACTCTAGAATGCTTATTTACTGCTAGGTGAACAGAGACATTAGGTAAAACTGAACGAATCCAACCATTTATGTCGCGCTCGGGAATTGAACTCAGAACCAACCCTCATTATGAATTGAGAACCAAGCCAGCTGTACTATGAGAGCCGTTGTGCCCGTAACTGTCCGTATACCTGAGCGTGTGTATTTGGGCAGGTATGTGGGGACATGCACATGTTGAGGCAATTCATGCACGGGTTCTGAACCTGTCAGGGAGCCAGGGTTCACACAGTTGGCATACAGAGGTCAGGTACGCTTAGTCCAAGTCAAGGCTGCGCCATTGTGGTCCGTCATTTCTTCTAGTTACTGGTCAGGCCGAGGTGTTTTTAACCTGTCTGTGCCAACCCGTTCTCGCAAATTCGTAAAGTCAATATTGACTTATTAACTACGTGCATAGGTGATATACTAAACATAATAGATACCCCTAAAAAGATTCATAGAAAACACCGACCTTACCTAACCTTGTTAGTATCTTAAGATAAGCATCTTATTGCTTCGTAATTACAATTATTACTTAACCTATACCTATTATAGGTTAGGTAATAATTGTAATTACGAAGCAATAAGATGCTTATCTTAAGATACTAACAAGGTTAGGTAAGGTCGGTGTTTTCTATGAATCTTTTTAAGGGTATCTATTATGTTAAGTATGTCACCTATGCACATATTTAATAAGTCAATATTGACTTATTAAATTTGCGAGAACGGGTTGCTGTGCGTGAATAACGAACTAGCTTTTCTTTTAGAATTATAGTTGCAAATGTATAAGTATACCAAGAGTATTATACCTGAAGTATACGTGGAGAATACCTGGAGTGGGTCCTGGGAGTTCTTCCAAGCCTGACTTGAGGCCAGACATGTCTTGTGAAAACCTGGTCTATAAAGCTGTTACTTGAAGCAGCCCGCATTGTGTTATGAGAGGGCCATCTCTCATTTCTATAAAGTAGGATTTCTGTAAGTTGCCGGGTCGACAAGGCACTCAGTCGGTCGGCAAGCGCCTTTATATTATCCTATTGCAGAGATGACAGCCTGTACCCCGCTGGGAATTCTTAGTAGTTTACCCAAAATTTACGCCAGCCATGAGTATCACATAATACAGCCGGTATGTTTGATTGTCAAGGCTGTCATGAACGTCACATGACGCAGTCAGCATGTCTGATTGACAGGGATGTCACTAACTTGACATGACACAGCTGGTATGTCTGACAAAAGGATGTCTTGAACAGGATATATGACATTTGACACCCTTCCCTTCGTTGACAGACATTAGTATGTTTGTCAACGAAGGGACATGACGTGCCATGCACGGGACATGACGTGAACGTGCATGACATGATTCCCTTCGCTGACAGACATGATAACTGAATAATAATTGTTTAATTATTGTTTTTATTGGACTATCGAAAATATATTAGTGGAGGCCCCTATTACTATGTTTCTTTTATATATACAAGAGTTCTTACATTCTTTTAAAGCCAGCAGCAAGCATAGCGTTTCGGGCAGGTCTTTAATCCTAATTTTTCCCAGGAATACGACCCGCCAAATCGTTTAACAACCAGGTATCCATTCACTGCTGGGTGAACAGAGGCTACAGTTAAGGATTGGGGCCCAATCGATCCTCCCCGACCAGGATACGAACCCAGGCCAAAGTTCGAAGTGTTGAAGTGTTGATGCTAGAATTGAGAGCTGAAGCAGGTGTTTCTTGCCTACATAACGGTGCTTCCCTGTCTGTGACTACGGAGAAAGTAAGGTCCGGTTATTTATGAAAAAACTACAATCATTGTTGTACCCGGTGTGTTAAAGTTTAACTATCCTGACGTTCGACTTCTTTAAGTCGGCTTTAAGGTTGTGGATGAAGGTGGCTTTTATTTAATATTTCAGTGTATTCTATTTGTTACTCTTTGACAACCTGCACGCTTCCTGTCACCGTCGAGGCCACTAAAGATGAAGGCCCTTTGGTAATTCAGATAAATCCAGGTACTGGTCACCATTTTTTCCTTACATTTGTCTCTCTCTCGTTTACATTTCCAGCTTACACATATGTTCTTTTGTTGGACATATGTCAGTCAAGTCAATAGAAGCGTTGTAATGCATTAGACTGTAGGTGTTAATGGAAGGTAGCTGCTTCTTGAGTAATATCAAGGGTTTACTAATATTGGTACCAACGAATCAGTACTACTCGAACTGATTCTGTGTAGTCCTCCTTATTATTTCATTTTCTTTATAACAGTTATGTTCAGAGAAAACGAACATAAGCATGATTAACTTAAATAAAATATCATTCATTTTGTTTAGCCTACCTGAATTTGCCTTTGAGTCACTATTTCTCTAGAGGCCCTCGACGAAGACACGAAGCCTGCGGCTTGTTAAACGTCCCCCCCCTACATTTGTCATGTTTTTTCGCTCTACGGTTCCCAGACACTAGTAAAGCTAATTTCGACGGATGTGGAAGAACGTAATAATACGTTCTTAAATTTTTTTTTTGAGATATATACAAGAGTTGTTACATTCTTGTACAGCCACTAGTACGCGTAGCGTTTCGGGCAAGTCCTTAATCCTATGGTCCCTGGAATACGATCCCCTGCCGCGAAGAATCGTTTTTTCATCCAAGTACACATTTTACTGTTGCGTTAAACAGAGGCTACAGTTAAGGAATTGCGCCCAGTAAATCCTCCCCGGCCAGGATACGAACCCATGACATAGCGCTCGCGGAACGCCAGGCGAGTGTCTTACCACTACACCACGGAGACTGCTGCTAATGTGTTATATGTAATACGTAATACGTTATATGGAGATCATGAAGCCTAAACTATGCTCAGCTTTGTTCTGCCGTGGGCCTGTGAGCCTTTGATTCAGGTGAGAGCACGAGCTTATTATTGAATTTTTATTAGTGGACGATAAGCCTACTGGGGAAAAAGCCATAAGCCTACCCATAAACCAACGACAAGTCATCTGATGAATGAACACTAGGTCTACTAGATTATTAAAGATAGGCCTACCGGTACATCAAAGATAGGCCTACTTGTAAATCAACTATAGGCCTACTGGGGGAATTAACACTGTTATATGCGGTGACACGTATTAAACGCAGCCAGTCTAAAGTGGCATAAAATTTTCTCTTATTGACCAATAGTAACTAAAGGAAAATGGCACTTGTGGAAAAGCTGACAGTGGACGGGGTGTGGGAGCTGACAGAAGACGGGGTGGGGGGCTGACAGTGGACGGGGTGGGGGGCTGACAGTGGACGGGGTGGAAGAGCTGACAGTGGACGGGGTGGGGGAGCTGACAGAAGACGGGGTGGGGGGCTGACAGTGGACGGGGTGGGGGAGCTGACAGTGGACGGGGTGTGGGAGCTGACAGAAGACGGGGTGGGGGAGCTGACAGTGGACGGGGTGTGGGAGCTGACAGTGGACGGGGTGGGGGAGATGACAGTGGACAGGTTGGGGGAGATGACAGTGGACAGGGTGGGGGAGTGGACAGGGTGGGGGAGCTGACAGTGGACAGGGTGGGGGAGCTGACAGTGGACGGGGTGGGGGAGAATGCTGCAAATGAGTGGCTTGGGGATTCGTAATCCCTTAGTTATTGCACTTGGCTTATACATAAAACAATCACAAATACTTAATACTAAATCCATCTCCAGTTTGATATCATATGAACAGATATCATAAACATTGCATATAAAATCACTGTGTTACAATCTTCTTGAGAATACTGACCCAATTCATGCTTGTTTTGTTGCAGGATTGACCCCAAGGATGATGCAGCAGCAGTGGAGGAGGTGAAGGCAGCGCTCCTGAAGGTAGAGGGCGATGGAGAGGGAGGAGAACCCAGGCCAGAGGCAGAAGGGGTGAGTGGCGAGGTGATCCACGAGCCTCCAGACCGTGGGCGAGGCGAGGACCAACCCACCATTGTTCTTACTCTCCACGACGATGGAAGCCCACCCGAGCCCCCGCCCCCTGCGCCCTGCCCTGGGCTGCTCAGCGCAACTGACGACCTGGAATTTATCGACTCCGATGAGGCGGATTCTGATGACAGAGTTGTCGAAGCTATTGGACCTGACGTCGAGTACTGTGACCAGTGGTTCGACGCCCGTGGAACGCTAACTCGTTCCAAAGAAGATATTGCTCGCATCATTGATGATTACGATGATTGCCGAACAAGTAAATATTACGACGCTGCGGACGAAGCAGCTCAACGTCTTAATGGCACAGAGTCGGTGGGAGCGCAAATTAACAGTAAAGAAAAGCGGGGTTCATTGAAGTCTCGGGAGTGGGTTAAGAGCTTCAACGAGGAGGCCGAGTCACGGATACAGCGTTGGATGAGACTACAGAAAACAAAAAATCCTTCAAGTCTTCCAAAAAGCAAATCTGAAATTCGTCTGGATGGGATTGAAGAGCCAGGAGAAAAGTGGTCAGCCAGAGACGAGATCCAGCTCAACGCCACGAGGGAAAACGAAGCCCACGCCAGTTATCTTCACAAAGAATATAACGATAATGTTAAAATAACGGAGAGCGAACGTCAGCAAGCATCAGAAAAGAAGCAGGAGGCACGTAAGGAGAATCTCAAGAAAATATTCCAAGTAAAAGGGAAGTTATCTATCAAACCCATCGTAGACTCGCAGCGGCCGACGTACACAGACACGGACATTTACATAGCTTCAACACCTTACGCTCTGGCCAGCACCACAGACAGCAGGCAGCCAGACGGAGAGTCTCTTGATGCATCTGAGGATGGTATCAACTGCAGCTCTGCTGACCTTGACCCTGCATTAGACGAGTATCTTGTCTCACAAGATAATCATCAGAATAACGGTGACAACAGACACCTATTTTCGAAAACCAAACAAGAAAACGCCAAAGAATCGAAATTAACACTAAATTGTGATCCATTAAGTATTCCAAACATTGTGATAGAGACTCCGGGGGTCACTGAAAAGAATGTGGAGTTTTCAAAACAGCTGTACAGAGAAGAGAGAATGAGAGCAGATTACATCCCACAGTCAAAAGCCATTTCACAAGAGCAGGACACTACAGAAGTTAGTGTCAACTCTGAACCTAATGACGTAATACAGAATGAAATACAGATCAGCTCCAAAGATACAGGAACGCCATCTCATGAACAAGACGCAAAACCAATAAATATGAATGCTAATTCAGAGGCTCAGGAAACAGAGGAAGAGACAGAATCAGAGTCAGTTTCACGTGAAACAAATACCACTATATTATCAACATCAGAAGCTAAGGAAATTCCATCTGAGGTATCCAAGGACCAGGAAGTCTCTACTACAATATTGACAAAAACGAAAGAGTCCTCATCGGCCCAAACAAAACCTGAGACAACAGAGATACAGTCCTTGTCAGATTCAGCAAAGTCTGACGTAAAGAAAAGAAAAATAACTGGAGCAAATATCCCAAAATCTATCAAGAACTTTGCAGGCTCCTTTTTTACACAACAAACAAGTGGAAAAGCAAAAAATGTATATGTAGAAGAAAAAGAAGGAGATAAAAAGAAAAAGAAAGGGAGAATCAGCCCATTCACCAAAGATTATCTCTCCAGAGGCTCTAAAAAAGCCGCGCCAGAAGAGGTAGAGAACGAAACAGGTCTTCAGCCGGGCCCTGAAAAAGCCTCAGGAAGTGTGTGCGATAAGAACTCTGCACCAGTGAATACCAATCCTTTTATAGACGACGACGGCAATCCATTTACTGATGACGATATGGAGGAAACAGTGCCAGGAAGCACAGATGACGAGCCCACCGCCACGATGGCACGAGAGACTCTGCCCGATCTTCTTCCCTCATCTGGTATTGGGAAACCTCCAAGGGAGTCCCCAGATAGCCTCGAGTACACATCAGTCATCGAGTCTGATGAACAGAAATCAATTTCCCACGAATCGTCACCTGGAGCTGGAACCTCGTTTGTGGAAGAAGGAGGCTTGAGGCTACGGAAAGATGCTCTTCTCGCAATCAAGTCAATGAACAATGACGACGCCTCCACCCATTACTATAGCTTCCTCAGCGCCACCGATGACTATCATACACCCACAAATGAAGCCACAGACGACTATAACACACCCACTACAGAAATCGAGCAAAGAGAAGAGATTCCTATGCAGGAAATGCTTCAGGAAGAAGACACGTTCCTTCATACTTCTCAGCTAATAAAGTTCCCAAACTCAACTCACGATCAGACACACGACAAAAAAACAAGAGAAAGTTCACCTGCCGAGCCTAATTGGACTGAGAAGCCAACGCCAGTCCAAGACCCCAAGCCAGACGTTTTGCCAAATGAGTCTCAGAGAAAAATAATAGATGAAGAAAACAAGGAGAATCTTGAAAGTAAAAACATGAAGTTAGTCATAAACAAAGCTGAGTCCCCACAAAGAACTCCTGTTACCTCGCTGCCAGCAGCAAGCGTGAAGTCGCCGGGAACAATGCAAGAAACAGTTCCACCAAGCCAACTGATACCTCAGTATAATGATCCCGTTTCTCTAGAACTTGCTGACCGGCAAGTGAAGTCCGTTCTCTTCATGAGCACTCAGGAGCCTCCCAAGCCAAGCCCAAGGAACAAGAAGGGAAGATACGGCTACGGTACCGGCGACGCTACCCTTACCACAACTACTCTCCCTGTTTCAACAAGCAACAGTGACACCGCAGCAGTCCATGATAAATTAAAGACTTTAAGCAATCATGGAATGAATGGCACGACAGCGGCTATAGACAAGCCCCAAATAGCCACCTTCCCCAGGCGAAGTGCTTCATGTAAAAAAGCTCCGCCTCCTGAGCCGGATATAAATTCTTCAGATTCTGGGTATGTAGGACCCGGGAGCAACTACTACGGGGGAACCGACTCCGAACCCATTTACTGGGAAATTAGCGAAACAAAAGGGGCGCCACCAAGACCAAGCCCAAGATCAAGAAAACCCCCTGGACCGCCTGGTGACCGTTCCCTGAACCAACCCCTGGCTCCCTCACCACCTTCCCTGAGTGCAACTCCTACAAACACCCCAGTGCAAGACTCTCAACCTGTACCCGAGTGGATAAACAAACGGGCACCGGTACCGAGTCCACGAAGCAAGAAGCAGCGTTCCCTTCAATCTCTCCCAACCTTCGCCCCGACAGATGACACCATGGAAGCAGTAAAAAAAAAACTTCAGCTTTTATCCCACGAGCCCCTGCAAGACTCACAGGTGCTACAGCAACCAATAACAGCACAGGAGGAATTTTACAGTGGTAAAGCTGCTTCTATATCCTACGGGTTCACCCAATCTACACGCGCCGCCCCGCCATCGCCGCCAATGAGAGTCAGGAAGGTATCCCAGATCTCTCTTCCAGCGGCTGTAGTGGCGGACGACGCGACGTGGCGGCAACAGAAGAGAAGAACCGTACATGGTGGCGACGGGCCACCGGGGCCACTCTCAGCGAGGCGAGCAAGAAGGCGCACCGACCCTACTCAAGGCCTTCCTATTCCCTCCATCAGGGCCGCCGTTCAGGTAAGTTCTGCTCCTCATTGGTGATGCTTGCAATAATAACAAAAATATGCAAAATGTTTATGAAATTTGTAAAGAAGAGAAGTGTCTTCGAACAGCATTTGTTCAAGGTTTGTACTAAGTCTATATTAAGAGGTGAGTATTTTTCTGTCAGCATTGGGCATTGCCTCTCCATTCATAGTCACCATGATATTAAGGAAATGTATTTTACATCCATGGTAATAAGTAATGCATTCATTTGAGACACGTAAGGCTTTGTTTTATGGAGGAAATTCAGTCTTGTTGTTACCAGGTGAGCGGGAGGCAAGGCTTTCTAGGTGCACCATCTTCAAGGCTACAGGTCCCTATACGAACACAACCAGAGGTAATATCCCCTGATATGTGTGTGTGTGTGTGTGTGTGTGTGTGTGTGTGTGTGTGTGTGTGTGTGTGTGTGTGTGTGTGTGTGTGTGTGTGTGTGTGGAAAAAAGTTGATTGATTGACAGTTGAGAGGCGGGGCCGAAAGAGCCAGAGCTCAACCCTCGCAAGCACAACTTGGTAAATACAAATAAGTGAGTACACTCGGAAAATACAACCAGGTAGAAAAAGCTAATAGCTTGCCTTAGGGCCAATATGTCTGGTATACGTTCTTGCCCAAGGACAAGTGACTTTGGGTCAGTGGCTTTTACCCAGAAGGTAAACACCAAGGTGTCGCGCCTGGGGGAGGGCCGGAGCTTACGTGACACTGACTACGGGTTGAGCTCTAGCTCCTCCTGTCCCGCCTACTAGCCTTGTTGTACCTGTTGTGGTGTCATTTAGAAATGGTCTGGCGTACGAATTCCTCCTATTTTGCATGCCACAACCCACTAAACTCTGGGACTTTATATTAAGCATAAACATTTTTAATAAATATTTTCATTAAGCAGTCATGCAGTGGACAAGCAATCACTCATGCATGTTTAAGTCAATATTGTTTTGCATTTACTGGTTTTAGTTCACTTATTTTTTATTTCATTTCATTTATTGTGCCCCCACGACCCGTCTCTATGGCTCCGGAGCTGATGAAAGCCAAGACCAGAAACTGACCCGTAAGGCTTAGTTAGAAAGTTATGAAATGTTGGGACATATTGCCAAGATTTTAGGTAATCTCATTTGATCAACTTTTTGGAATTGTTGTGGGGAGAACAGAACTCGCGTTTCAAATCTCCGCAGACGCATCGTGGTCAAACTTTGTCAAGAAATACACACAACATACAGTGGCTACTGGTATTTAAACATTGTCAAGCAATACACCGAACATACGTTATACAGACGCCACAGATAAAATTTATTGTCGCCAAGCGAACAACAGGATCCTCGGAGTGTCGACATTTCCGGTAACATTTAACTCGGCGACAAGTCTACGTAGACAGAACGTTTACAGATGAAAACCTTAAACCATCATCAAAACAATGAGTCGGCGGATTCACGATACCTTATTTCAGTGGGGAAATAGTACGTATTATTTTCGAAGCTTTTATTCGAGACGTGTCATACACTTCCAGCACTGTAAACCAATTAAATAAACAACCATAATACCTCAACAACATTTTATAAACCCAGCATGCAGTATATTAAGTCACATGTTACTTCATACAGGTGAAAGGCCTCATGAGTGTCCAGAGTGCGGGAAAAAAATCCGACGTATTGGAACTATGAAGACTCACAAAATGGGGTATACAGGCCCACCCCTGATATATATAATACAAATAAAATTGCATAAAATGACAATAAAAAAGTACTGGGGTGGGAGAAGAAAATATTCATGGAGAACCGGCAAGATATATTCTCTGAATACTCTTTATTCTCTTTACTGTCACTTGAGTGCCAGATGTATAAATCAAATACTGATAGTAATGTGATAGTTGGTATATATATATACTATTGCTTCGTGGTGGAAGATGGAATGAGTCACGATGAGGTGAGGAAAGATGAGGTCAACAAGGGAGGAGGTAAACAAAAAAGTGAGCATCAGGTTATGGTGATATAACCATTCTATAACCAGTATGTGGAACCCGTTCTCACCCCCCCCCCCCCCGACTGTCACTTCTTGACCTGGACGAGGAGCCCCGTGTACTAGAGGGAAGTTTGTGTATATAAACACTTGTTCATTTAAACACCTGTTGATATGGTGTTTGTTTTGTGACCGAACACACACACACACACACACACACACACACACACACACACACACACACAGACACAGACACACACACACACACACACACACACACACACACACACACACACACACACACACACACACACACACACACACACACACACACACACACACACACACACACACACACACACACACACCGGTAATTAGTTTATTTATGGAGTAATATTCATTGGCTGAAGTATGGTAAGCTGTGAGGCAGTGTTGTGGTCTTGACGTGTTTATTGATGTTTTAATGTCATTTGTTGTCGTACTGGTCAAGTGGTTTCCTGATTTCCTGGTAATTTCGTGTCGCATTGGTGTCAGATTTCTTTGTTTTGGTACCATTTGTTTTTCGCTTGAACCACTTGAGCGTGAGATCTCGCTCCAGGTCTGTCAACTGCTCCGAGGATGACAGCTGCATCTGTCGTCAAACTTCTACAGAAAAAAAATCCTTCGCATTGTTGATAACTTTCTGTGCATTTTTCTTCATGTAAAAATGACAAAGGTCTACGACTCACAACATAATATAGCGTTAAGTTAGGGTGATGTTGTGGGCGTTGCCGCTCTCCCATCCCTTGCTTTCTCCACCTTATCTCCCTCACCCTTACTCTCCCTTCTTCATCTCTCTCTTATCACCACCACAAATGCATTGTTTCCACCAGCGAAACTTTTTTTTTTTCCCCCAACCCGGATCCGGTATTCGCACTACAGCGGTCCCTTAGTTCAGCCACCATCCCTCCCACCATCCCTCCCACCATCCCTCCCACCATCCCTTTCTCCATCCCTCCCTCCCACCATCCCTCCCACCATTCCTCCTTCACTCATCCTGACCTTTCCCCCCCCCCACCCCCCCTCACTGTCCCTCAGGTGTTCTCTAGGCGCGCTGGGAAATCCACCTGGACCTGTCTCATGAACTGCGAGCCTCGGCTGTGAACACGGCAATATCTCCGTGTGGAGCCCTCGTCTAGGGACGGGTGTCCTCGCCCACTCCAGTGAGGAGGATACTGGCAGGGTGTGTGGCGACCTTCATCGTCCTCAAACTCGATTTGTGATATAATTATGAATTTTCCCGTTGCTTGATGTTGCTGTTGTTTTCTTCCTACTTTTTACAGTCTTGTTAGAGCTAGAGTTCTAGACGCTGCCAAGTTTTGATCAGATTGATGTGCTTACGTTCAAATGTTGTATTTGTTGAATTTGTTTGGCTATTGAGTACTGGAATGTAAATACACAAATACCAATTGTAAAATAATGAATGCAGGCGATAGGATGTAGCAGGCTTAGCACCGCCTGGATGTGAAAGCTCTACAGTTCATTATAAAAAAAAAATACCAGCAGGTAGACAACGCACTGACCTGGTCTCCTGAGGTGCATGTAAACTGGGGAACATCATCAGCATTTGCAAGACTGCCGATGGTAAGAACTGCCTTCATAAATCTAAGCAGGTAGGGTAATAATGAGGAGAAACCATCTAAAGAGGTAAGGTGATTATAAGGAGAAATCACTGTAGCTATTACGACTATGTAGCACTTGGAAAGGATATGAGGATAATGATTTGGGAGAGGACGGAGGGAAGGAATGGTGCCCAACCGCTTGAAACGTCACCTCAAGTTGCACATGGAATTCACAAGGGGGGCAGCACGGAGCTGCCAACAGTGTTGTGGAACGAGAGCTGGTGGATGCAGATTCCGCAGATCAGTTCATAATAAACTACAATAATTTATGCATCAATAACACTAGTCGAGCGAAGGCGAAGAGGTGGCGCCCAGGAACTGAAACTCAACTCCTACAGCCGCACCGTGGCGAATAAATTCAAATACACATTTGGTTTGTGTGTTATCACACACGAAATAAAGTCCATCAAAGGCTCAGCATTAGAAAATTGGCAGTTATATGACAGATGGCATTCAGACAGGAAAAGTAAGGATCATCTGCATCTTTCTTGACTGCCAGAAAGTTTCTAGTACTGTCCCTCACAAAGTGCTGCTGTTGTAACCGAATAGAACTGTAGTCGATATATTCAGATAAAGCTCTATTCAGATTACTAAACCGGACAGTGAGAAAAATTCGTATGTTCTACTAGAGGTCTGTATATGAGAGTATACTGAGATGAGACACACCAGAGACGGCTGTAATGAAACACAATCCAGGAACACCTGAGATGAGACACATCAAGGATATATGCCATAAGACACATCAAGGACACATGAGATGACACACGTTAGGGATACCTGAGATAAGACACACCAGGGACCCGTGTGATGAAACACACCAAGGACGCCTGTATTGAGACACTCTAGAGACGACTGGAAAAAGTTCCTTCTAGCGTCCCTGTGGCTCATGTGGGTACTCAGTTTCCACCTGTGTCCCCTTGTTCGCGTCCCACCAGTGTTGAATAGTTTTTCTGTGTTTACCCGGTCGATTCCCCTGAGGATTTTGTAGGTTGTGATCATGTCTTCCCTTACTCTTCTGTCTTCCAGTGTCATAAGGTGCATTTCTCGCAGCCTTTCCTCGTAACTCATGCCTCTTAGTTCTGGGACTAATCTAGTGGCATACCTTTGGAATTTTTCCAGCTTCGTCTTGTGCTTGACAAGGTACGGGCTCCATGCTGGGGCCGCATACTCCAGGATTGGTCTTACATATGTGGTGCACAAGATTCTGAATGATTCCTTACACAGGTTCCTGAACGCTGTTCTGATGTTAGCCAGCCTCGCATATGCCGCAGACGTTATTCTTTTTATATGGGCTTCAGGAGACAGGTTTGGTGTGATATCAACTCCTAGATTTTTCTCTCTGTCCGTTTCATTAAGCACTTCATCTCCTA